TACTTAGATACTTTTCTAGTGAAGAGAATGCTGGCTCAAATATTGGAAACTAGAATCCAAAAAAGAGCAATTTGTTTTTTTTAATTTATTTAGAATTCTCTTTCAAAAAGTGGAAACACCTGTGGCTTTTCTTAACTATAGAGGATATTTAAATTTTTTCTTAAATATATATATTTATTATTGTATTAAATATCTGATATTCTCCACATGGGAATAGGCCTTTACTTTGTCTAGAGATAGCAGATGCTTTGACATTTTGGGCTTATTACTCATCTTTATAAGATTAATGCATCAGATACCTCACAGTAGTTACTAGTTTCTCAGTAATTTGGGGATCTTTCTTCACGTATTCATGGGATGACCAGCACTTCACCCAATGATTAATTATTTCAAATATTTATATTATTAGGTAATATCGATATGTGAAATTCTTTAGAACAATATAAGAAATTGCAGAATAAACAATACATTCTTGGTTGGAGGCAAACCATTTCTGTTGTAAATGTACTAGGGTGTAATGAAAGGCATTTTCACACCATTTGACTTGAAAAAAGTAAACTAATATTGAGCCGGAAGGCAGATGACACGTGATCCAGGCAGAAATGAGAGCCCTGAGACCTGCGAACATCTCCTAACTGCCTTCACCTTCTCTTTCTCCTCGTATGAAGAGGATGTCTTAATCCATTCTTCCTAGAGTTGTCACGAGAGTAAATTGGATGATTCATGAGTCATGAATATTAAATTAGACAGCTTTGGTGTCATTTCAGATGTCCCCTTTCCTACGGCATCTTCCCTTCATTTAGCCATGGTGGGTGCTTCTGTCGTATGCCCTCTTTGTACTTGGAGCATTTTCTTCCTCAAGCATCCGATGTGTGGTGCTTGTTGCTTCTGTGTCTTTCCCCCTCTCTTCCCCTCCAGACTTGGAGCTCCTAAAGCTAGTCTTTTACCTCTGTATTTTCAGAATTTGAATAGTACTTAAATTGTGCTCAAAGAACAATTTTATGAAAGAGCTCGATTAATCAATATTAATAAAGTAGTTTCTACAGTGTTAGTTAAAAAAGAATTTAGCTTTTATTTATATCTCCAGTGAAAGCAAAAACATTTTAATATTTTACAGGACCCAAATTACAGCCTAATGTTATAATCAGAGCCATGTCTTTGATATTAGGTTAACTTAAGAAAATTCTCAAGCTAGAAATTAGTAGGAGGAATTTCTTAAAGACAGGGTTAGAAGATTAGAAAGAGGGTGCACTGGGAATCAGAATATGAATTTTTTAACTAGAAGTGAGTGTAGAAAGAGCCATTAAAAACACAAGCATCAAATACTATTAAAACAAAGAACCAAACAAAACAACATAGAGATCTGCGTTATGTTTAACCCCCAGTGGCAGGGCCGGCCGCTTCCCAAGCAGAATAAAACAATGAGACACAGTAGGGAAAACCCGTATTTTCTTACATATTTTACAGAGAGAAAGGCAAAGCGATGCATCCACCATGGAGAAAAACGTTCACATAATTCTTTGTGTCTTATCTGTGTTTTCTTAAAAAGTCTCTCAGGCCTCCAGCACCGCACTGGTTTTTGTCCCCACCAGGCCTGTGACAGCCCAAACAGACAGGATCCATCTAGTTCTGGTTCTAACTCACGATGGCTGCCAACCTGCCAGGCAGCTAGGAGACACCACTCGTTCAGAAGAGTGACATTGTTGCAGTGGTTTTCAAACTTTAACATCTGTCTCAGAGTGAGAAAACCAATTTGCACTATAATCTAAACAGAAGTGTAATTGAAATAAAAATGTCTTATGAAAGAAATTTTACAGTGGACTCATCCCTCTCCCCCCTCTCCTCTGCTTCTCTCCACTCCTTAGTGTATTTAATTAAGAATACTGGTCCTAAACCACCGATTTCTTGTTACTGGAAATTTAAAAGACATTTTGCTATTGCTTAAACATGGCTCTTGGAGTCTTATTCCACAACCCAAGCTGCTTATAAAGTTGTTTATAATATTTAAAACAGGTTCTTTTTCTGGGATGTGTCTTAGTTCATTCAGGCTGCTATCACTAAATACCACCTACTGGGTAACTTATAAACAACGTAAATGAAATAAGCTTCTCACACTTCTGGAGGCTGAGAAGTCCAAGTTCAATGTGTCAGCATTGGCAGGTAAAAGCCTGAATCCTGGTTCACAGATCTTGACTTCTTTCTGTGTCCTCACTCGGTGGAAGGAGCTGGGATCCCTCTGGCGTCTCTTGAATAAGGGCACTCTTCCCACTAGTGAAGGCTCCACCCTCATGACCTAAGCACCTCCCAAGGGTCCCATGTACTATGCCATCAACTTTGGGGTTAGGATTTCAATATATAAACTGTGAGGGCAAAATCAGTCACATCATAGCAGGATGATTCTGCTATGAAAAATAGTAGCATTCATCCATATTATTGCCTAAGAAACTTGAGAACTGAGGAAGTTAAATGGCCTCAGGTTGACTACTTAGTGCTTCCTTTGTCATGTGTCATTTTAAACCTCTCAGTTCAATACCTCTTTTCTGGGCCTGCATGGAAAATGCCCCTGGCCTTGAGAAGAGCCACACTGGTCGTGTCTGTCAGCGTTGCTGACCTGCTATAGTCCTTTTACTAAAAGGGAAGACCTTTTTATTTATTTATTGTTTAAACTTCTGCTCTACTCTAAGATGTGAACTAATTATACAATACGTGTGACTTTGTTTACTTCGGAATTTAAGTCACTTCTCAGAGAAATAATTCCTTCTGTCACATGCATGTAGTCTATTCCCAGATGTCTTCCTGTGCATTCTCTTCAGTGTTTTGTCCTGATGCTTATGTAAGTTCTCACAAAGCTCTTTCCATGTTGGCCATCGGGGACGCACTGTTTGAATGCACCATCAATCTCATTGCCACCGCTTCTTTTCCAGGTGGCAGCAGATTGAGCTTATGTCACAATTCATCATCATTATCAACATACTCAGTGAGGCATATGAATGGCACTACGGGATGTTACATAAATATGAAAGTGTGGCTCATGCCTTCGTGGACATTAAAATAAAATTAAATCAGAGGCAGTCACCATAGGCAATGCTTAACCTGGTAATATGGTGACCGTTTGCTGATGCCACGATACTGTACGTCCAGAACATTAGTTTTCAAGGGATTCAATCAACCCCTGCCAAGACGTGCATAGACAACTAAACAAGGAGCCTTTTTCAAAAGAGTTTCCCTATTTCTGCTACCATATCCATCTAATAGAAATATCTCTTGGTGTAAGTGCCACTTGCCTCCTGTGGAAGACACTTTATTTGGAGGCATTGTTGAAGCACCCAATATAAATTATAGCCGCTTACTGCAACAAAATCAAGGAATCCTATTCTCCTCTTCAAAATCATAGAAAAAAATGGCACTTACTCTAGGTATTCTTTCTTTGTAAAGACAAATGACAACACATTTTGTTCCAGGGTAGTTCAGATATTTCTCAACTAGAAATATGGTTTAATTCTCTATTTACTGGCTCTAATAAAAGGGTTCTTTTTCATTTCAAAGACTAGGAGCAATATTTGTCACAAATAAATAACCAACTAACTTCATTGTTAATATTGTTTAAACTATCATTCAGGAAGTGAGATATAGAAAACATTACATTTCTTTTTTTTAAATTTTATTTATTTATCTTTAGAGGGGACGGGAAGGAGAGAGGGAGAGAAATATCAATGTATGGTTGCCTCTCGTGAGTCCCCTGCTGGGAACTGGCCTGCAGCCCAGGCATGTGCCCTGACTGGGAACTGAACCTCCATCCTTTGGTTCGCAGGCTCGTGCTCAACCCACTGAGCTACACCAGCCAGGGCAACAGTACATTCCTGAAGGTAAAACTTCATTTATCTTTACCAAAATTTCTACTCAACATTGTGTATTCAAAGCTGAAGTGCCAGATGTTAAAAATTTTTGGTTATACAGATAATATTTTCCATTCATGAAGTTATCTGAAAGATTTTTAAAAACAAGTTTTAAAAATCTTTAAAAAGATTTTTTAAAACATGCTTTCAATATGGTCAGACTTTCATCCTTGAAATTCTAAGTGTTTCTATTATTTTTACACCTTGAATCAATAATTTAAAAAGTTACATAGTTGAAAATTTTTTGTTGAAAAATGATTCTGCTATCAAAATGAATGTTTACTCTGTATATATGTTGTCACAATTCTTTACTGGTCTTGTTAAAAATACATATAATTGTTTTTATTTAGTGAAAGCATATTTCTATATGTTTTTGTGTGTGCAAAAGTTAGACAAAGAATGGAACCCCACTGAACCTTCCACATTAAAATGCAGTTATGCAGGAACAAGTCTGGAAAAATAAACACATATAACAAGTTAGTAATAAGAACAATCAGAAATCCACTGAAGCTCAACTAAGGGGGTCACACTTAATATCTTGAGGTTTTTTCCTTTTTTAAATTCTAAGAAAATATGTAAAACATAGAAAGTATGTAATATTTTATCAGTGACTTCTAGAGTGGCAGAAACAGGGTTTATGAAGAAGCCGAGTGTTACGATTTTTTAATAGTAGATGAAGTTATATGGGTAAATACCTATTAATGCTGGTTTGACTGGATCTCTTCATTATACTACTGAGAATCGAGTACTTAAAAAACAATAGAAATAATAGCATCTGATTAACAACAAGCAGACCCATTCTGGAACATAGTACTTTGCATATATATTAGGTAAAGAAAATACTTTGGATTGTTAGAATTTAGTTCCACAGCTAAAAGGAGCAGGGAGAAATACACATATTTTAATAATTTTGGATAGGCCAATTTTGCTGGTGTTAATGTATATTTGTAGCCTATTTGTAATTTATATTTTTCTGTATTTTTAAAACTGTTTTGTACCAAAAAAATTAAACCAAGCAATTAGTTAAAGAGTAATGGGCACTTGCATTCAGACAATTTGTATATTCTTACAAATGTGTTTAATTACAACTGCTTGAAAATTACCCCAGATTTTCAAAAGTTTTATTTTAAGTTTGAAGACTAGACAAGGTCATACTGATTTTACAACAGCCTACATGGTTTAAGTATATATACAAAGAAAAAAAACAACATTGGAATATCACACGGCTTGAATGTTTTCAAAGGTTATTTGTGTCTTAGTTACTTCTGTACCGACACATCAGATGCCAGGGGTATTCTAGTCCATACTCTGTCGACTAGCGAAGATACAATCATTAGTACCCTAATACTTCAAAATTCACACCAATCCTTAGGAAGTCATTCAGAAAGAGAAAGTCAACCCTAAAATTAGAATTAGTAACTATGATAAATGCTTTTAATAAAACAGATAAAATGGAGATGTTTCACATTTGAATTTCATAGATTATAAAACTAGCATATTACAGTTACTCAATGTGGTGAAGACTAGGGAAAACTGTATTTTCCTTATGAGATTTTACTTGTTTTGGTATGAATTTAAACTGAGTAAAGTCGCCTCACTTTGATGTCCCACATACAGGTGACACAAAAGCTACATACTACTTTGATTTTGTTGTTATTAAAAATACCATTATGATTGACTTTCTCTTTAAATTCTTTACTGTACTTGAAGACCACTCCATACATCTATTGTTAAGGAATGCTAGTAACACACAGACAAACAAGACAGTGACAGTCCAGTGGCTTTCATTATGTAGCACAAGTAATGAAAGAAAAAAACTTAGCGGTGTTGCACAGGACCTCAACGTTTTGTACACATACCGTACTTTCTTTTCCAGAACGCTTAATTTTAAACTCCAACAATGCTGTGTCTAAGCCTTATAAAATAAATAGTTGTAAAGCTTATATATTAGATGTTGAGGACTTGTATGGAGCCAGTGTGAGCTTTAATTTGAGAAACATGTCAATGAAACCTCCATCATCAATAACAAATTGTTATGATAATTGCTTGTTTTTTTCAGAACCTTTGAAGCAAAATAAATAGAAATCGATTTTCATCTTGGAAATGGTTACTACTTTGTCATTAGTAAGTACTTTTCTTCTCACAAATGACTACAGAATGTGCTTTCCTAGGAAACCACCACCAATTTCAAATCTTAATAAAATTCTGGTTTCACAGAAAGTGCAGAGATAAGTAAAGAAATAATGAGTACGTTTGGCCAAGCTATGCAGAGCTAAGCTAACATTTGTTTGTTAAATAATAAAAAAATTAAAGTGACAAACAAAGCCTTCATCATTCTATTATGTTAAAATAAAGATAAAGACATATAAATATCATCAAAATGAAGATACAATTTTGGTTTAAAGAAACATAATACAATTTAGTTCTTTTTAAAAAAATTGTAGTGTGAATTTCTTTATAAAGGAAGAATTTGGAATTTACATAGTCATAGCTTCTTTCAAAAATAGAATTTCAGATCTACTGATATTAATTATGATCGATCTACCATCGATCTACGATCGATTGCAGTTTTCAAATATGTTCCATATATAAGCAAATATTATACTTCTTTTAGGCAAATAACAAAAACTCAATTCAAATATTAACTCACTCAAGCAATATACAATATAAAGAATATAAAACAGAACAAAAAATCACATAACATCTGATTAGAAATAAAAGTAAAAGAACAATAATATCATTTAGTACTACATGTTACAAATTCGTCTTCAAAATTCTATTATAAACACTAAGCGTGTTTGGTAGGCACAGGGAAATAACTAGGATAATGTAGACTCACTACAGAAAAAAACAAACAACTTATTGCTAACATTGCAGTATTCCTTTTATAAGAACTGGATGAGTATTGATTATAAAAGCTCTATCAACTCTTGTTATTATTTGATAACTATGAGATTTTTATCCTTGCCAGTTTCTTTCCCTAATATTTCCAACTAGTGTGAATAATTCAAAAAACTATGAGAAAATTCATTCCCAGTTAATGTGATGTTACTTAAGAAATTTAACTGATAAAATCAAATTAAATAAAGCATTGAAAAGGCAGGCTTAGACCTCTTTAGATAGTTAATGGCCTACCATAGTTTGAGCACTTTTTCATGAAAAACCCCACTCATTTTCCTACAGATTTCGCACAGTTCATTCCATGGAGACAGAGAAGAGGAAAATAGCGAGGAGGGTTGTGGGCGTGGCTCTCCTCACTCCTCCTCTGTGCAGCCCAGCAGCTCCGACCTCAGCGTGATTCTCCCATACCAGGACCAAGGAAGGATTCTTATGTGCCGAGCATAGATGGGAGGGTCAATGACGTTTTTCCTGTGGGTATCATTGTCAAAATTGCCCTGGAAAACCTATTAAAAGAGAGTGAAGAATATCAATCACATAGCCTTCTTTTTCTTGGGAATTATTTTATAATTTTCTTGTTTGGAGTTTCCCCCACCACAAATGAGAAAATTTTAAAAAGATTTTATTTATTTATATCTAGAGAGAGGGGAAGGGAGGGAGGAAGAGAGGGAGAGAAATATCAATGTGTGGTTGACTCTCACATGGCCCCCACTTGGGACCTGGCCCCACAACCCAGGCAATGTGCCCAACTTGGAATTGAACTGGTGACCTTTTGGTTTGCAGCCTGCACTCAATCCACTGAGCTACACCAGCCAGGGCCAAATGTGAGATCTGGTAACTAATTATGTTATATTGCAGCTTTTAAAAAAATTTTATTTATTTATCTTTAGAGGGGAAGGGAAGGAGAAAGGGAGAGAAACATCAATGTATGGTTGCCCTTTGCGAATCCCCTCCTGGGAACTGGCCTGCAGGGAACCGGCCTGCAACCCAGGCATTTGCCCTGACTGGGAATGGAACTGCGATTGTCTGGTTCGCAGGCCCGAGCTCAATCCACTGAGCTACACCAGCCAGGGCCCAGCTTCTTTTTAATGATCATTTTAAAATTAAATTGTCAATTAGTATTTAAAGACTTAAGACGAAAATTTGTTTTGTAATACCGGATTACATAGTTCTATCATTTTAATCTGCCTACCAGTTTTATTTAATGCAAGAAATACTTCTTTTTTGCATTTGTCATGGAGTGATTGATGTTGGCTAGGCAGTTTGCTGAAAGTGCTGTCTTCTAAGAAGTGACTCAGAGAACCAGGCTGCGAGCAGATTACAGCCACATCTGAAACATGTGGCTTCCATATTCAAAGGGACACATGGAAAGAGTTGTTAGATTATGCAGGGTGTTTGAAGGAGCAAGGTATGGAAGCAGCTGACACCATTTCTGGATACATCTCATTGACCTTAACGATTATATGAGCCTGGCCCCACTGAAAAGGTGGAATTGGAGAAGAGCATGTGGTTATTTGGAGAGCATTAACAGTCTCTATCACAGTGTCTTTTGCTCACTTCTCACACAGAGAACAAAATTAATCCATCTCCAAGAGCGACAATCTAATCGATGCTGTTTTTGACCTATGCTTTTTTTTTTTAGCTTCTCTATTACTTCCTGTGTCCATACAATACTGCTGTGATCACTGTGGCTTGTAATACTCTGAGATGATAATATGCATGACTGTTCTCCTTTATTCTTCTTTTATTTCAAACCCTTTTGAGCAATTTTCTCCCTAGAGACCTTTAGAATAACTTTGAGAAGTGTCTGCTTCAGGGAAAGAAATATTGAAATAAAAACACTGGGATCCTGATAACAGTGGCATTGAATTATGTAATACTCTTGGAGCAACTCATGCATTTATATTATTTAGTCAAGATTTTACTATTTAAACCCTTTGATTCTGAACATTTATTATTAAAACATTTCCAACTGTTTCATATTTACGTTTTTGTTTTAGCACAATTAAGATAATCAAAATCTCTAAGATTTCCCTTTTAACAGTTTGAGGCATTTTATAATTGGAAGATAATTTTATTTCTTGCTTAAGATCAAAACATGGCCAAAGGGAGACCTGAAAATAAAATTTGCTCAAAGCAGGAAAAAAACCCCTCCATCAGCACATGACAATATTTAGCCATACCTTTGAACACCCTAAAATTAAAGCGAATGTTTTAAAAACGCCATTCTAAAATTAGTTGGTTCTGTCCCAAATGATCAAAAAAGCCTCCCTGGAAAGAAAAAGAAATAATGCATTCTTCTCTAAAGCATTAGACAGCATGGTACTGATTAATATTTAGAAGCAACAGACAATTTGTGGTAATCTTTCTGCTGGTTTCATGAGGGGATTTTGTTTCCCCTCAAGATAATGAGGGGAAACAAAAGTGCCATTTCTGAAGAAGAGAATACTGAACTATGCTGAGTCTAGAATTTATCCTCCTTGCGCATCTGAATTCACATTCATTTAATAGGAGTTTTATCCTCAGCAACGCTCTGGCTTGCATTGGCCCAGGAGGAACTAATTCTGGATTAAAATGTGTTACTAAGTAACAGTGTCTCTGTTAGCAAAAGCTCCCATGTATAGGACGTAGAAAACAGTCAAAATCTTGAGAGAGGTTGTCATTGCAACAGCAGAAAATGGGAGAGAACATGCTGTGGTTCCCTGACATTCTCTCTGACATATGATATTGGATTCAAATGCTTCACTGAGGCTATGGTGTTACAATTTAATATAGAATCTGAAATCCAATTTCATAGCCCTGCTAGAGAACTTAATGTATATCTTTGGAATAATAGAGTTTAAATTCATTAACTTCTATCACAAGATCTACGACAGTCCAAAGTATAGTGTTATTCCACTTGTCAGGAAGAAATACAGGAAGAAAAATTTTTATTTTAAATCTGTGGTTTTCAGCACGTTTCCAGAAGAAACTATTGACATACGAAGCAATAGTCAGCTTATTAGTTATATCAATACTTAGCTCTTTATAATGGAGAATACATACGGAGAAGTTACATCAACTCTGAAATTGCATATAGCTAGGACATTTCTGATTTGATGTGTAATAGTCATAAATATTTGAATGCGCATTAAAAAATTAAATGAAGTTTCATAAAGCAGGATGGTTTAAAATAAAAATGTCCACAGAAAAACAGTTCAAATCTGCATTAGAATCACCCAAACTATGATCTAAGAGTATTGAAAATATAGTTTTGCTTTCAGAGTTCACTCAGTAATGACCAAGCACAGAACATGAAGCACACATTTGCAAATTCTAGCATGACTTCTTATACTTGCTGTGCAAACATGTGGTACATATGCTGTTTTCTTGTCTCTACCACTGGGGAGATTCTGCTTAACAATGCTATTTCAATGTTTTAACTAGCAAAATAAAAATGCAAACTCAAACTCAGTATTTTTAATTAGCTTTGTAAAATCTGTAAGAATTCTAGAAGAATACTTTCACTTACAACTTTACCAATGTAATTTCCTTGATTGAAATCAAGTCCAAAAAGGCTTAGAGAGAACCAAACTCTCCATATAGAAAAGAAAACATTGCATGTGAGATAGAGGCTTTGATTAATACGTTTTTAGAAAGAGTATGCACAAGTTTCAGGTTTAGGAGACTTGATTAGCTGATGACATGTTTGCTGATGTACTCCAACATGATCATGCTCAGGGGTCTCTTAGGCCTTTCCCAACATGTGGGGCTTAAACAAAAAGACCTCAAGGTTCTTTGGAGAGGTTTCCACACTTATAACCTAAGAAAAGATTGGAGGAAATGTGGCTGTCTGCTGGGGCTGAGATCTTGGATTTTGTTTTCTAATATCAACCCTCCTAAAACAGTAGCTAAAATTAAATCATATTCAATTGAGAATTCAAATCTCAAAGCAGAGAGATTATCAGATAAAATAAAAGAATTAAATGTTGCTGGAAGCAATATTTAATATTTTTCGTAAGGCGAGATTTGTCATTAAGGCCAGAGTAGATGTCCTCAGTAGGATCATGGAAGCGGGTGATATCCTCTACGACGGACGGAGTCAAAGCATATCTCAGCTTCCCTTGGCAGTCATGGATTATGACTCTGCCTTCCACAAAGATAGAGGAATCCTTTGGAGGTTTCTTACATACGCTACTCAATTAGCAAGTCATCGGGTTGTGAAGATGTTCTTTTTCTTTGGCCTAAACTTAACTCATTAAAAGTTTTAAAGAACATTCAAAGAACCTATGCACACAATGTTCATAGCAGCACAATTTACAATAGCCAAGAGTTGGAAGCAACCTAGGTGCCCATCAGTAAATGAATGGATCAAAAAATTGTGGTACATATACACAATGGAATTCTATGCAGCAGAGAGAAAGAAGGAGCTCCTACCCTTTGCAACAACATGGATGGAACTGGAAAGCATTATGCTGAGTGAAATAGGCCAGGTGTTGAAAGACAAATACCATATGATCTCACCTTCAACAGGAAGCTAAACAACAAAACAAACAAGCAAGCAGAAAAAAAACAAAGACACTGAAATAGAGAACAAGGGGACAGTGACCAGAGGGGAGAGGGAAGGGAATTTAATGGGAAAAAGGGGGAGGGATTTGGAGGAACAAAGAGGAAGGACACAGGAACGAGAACTAAGGGGGGGGGTGGGAGGGAGGTGGGAGCACAGAGCGGGGGGGGGGGCTGGGATGGGAGAAGTAGACAAAAAACTGTATTTGAAAAGTAACTAAATAAAATTAATAAAAAAAGTTTTAAAGAGATTCCCATTGTTCTAACCTGCTGGATTTTGTGTTCACATCATCCGTAGTGACTAGGTTTAAGCATTCTGTACAGATTCCCTGAGCTCTGCAAGGCTAACAAGTCAGTACTTTAGCAAGGTCTCAAGTGACCATCAGTTCATCACTTTGGCCTTTTGGTCATCTCTCTCTGGATTTCATATTTCTCTTCTGGTATGTGGAGACTAACATCATATGTGGGATTCTAGATACTAAGGAAATAAAAGGGTTGAATAAAACTTTCTCTGGGTTTCTCCATTTGCATTTGTGCTGTTAATGGTGTCAAACACACTGTTGGCTTTATTGGCTATACATGTACATTGATCTCATGTCCTTAAGAGAGACAGGAAGGGCAAAGATAAAAATTCATTTCTCTAAGGCAGCATAAGGGGTGTGTGTGTGTGTGTGTGAGAGTGAGTGTGTGTGGCTAAGGTAGTGTGAAAGCTAAAAATTCTTTATTTAGCATATATAATTTTGATTATTTATCTAGTCTTCATCTAGAGTGCTACAAAGAACTTAGAAGAGCGCAGGCTTTTCTAGCTCTGATTCCTGTAAAGCCCTGTTTTTATTTAATTCCACCTATACAATGCAAGAAACTGAGACTTGGAAGACAAGGCATAACACCAGCTTCCCTCTCTAATATTTCAGGAATGAGCTGTCCACCTATTCATGGTAAGCCTCAATATAACAGGGCA